CTGAAGCTTATGGAGTGAGATTATTTCGTTGTAATGCTTTCGTTTATCCGATCAACAATATCTCTTCCAACGTGATTTCATCTGATTCTGATCGAAATCAGTCGATAATTCCTGATCCATAAAACGCAATTCTCGGATTGAACGCTCAATCGATATTTTGGCATAAACCTGAATTAAATCAAACTGAAAATTCTCCCCAACAAAATGGGTTCAATTAAAGTAATAAACGAATAAATTCAACAATTCTTCGTTACAGTTGGTCAATCTTCTCGCAGATATTGGTGGACATCTTGGCTTATGGATGGGTATGTTGTGCATTGATTACAAGCAATTACTCTAACATTTCTAGATATTTTGAAAAGACGACTCCAAAACGACAAAATAATAATAACTCCAAACAAGATGTATTTATTCACATGCGATTTTCAAATGATAATTCAATGAAATTGTCTAATTCGCATAATTTCCTGCAGACAACAATCAACAATATAAAATCGGAACGTTTCGCAGATTTTATCGTAAGATTTCTTGTCGAAACAGATGCGTATTTTTTAGGATTCAGCGTTATAACAATAATCGAGTGGGTCGTGTTAGTGTTCGATCTGGTGACAATCTGCTGCGATCGACGCAATCGACGACATAATCAGCTGATACAATCGCAGCCTATTGCTAATTTAAATCCACACTCCAAAACGTCTACGGATCCTCCTGAAGCTACGCTATATGGAAATATTATCGATAATAATGGACGTGAAAATTCAACATCTAAAAAATTTCAGTTATGAGATTAATGGATTGAGTGTTTCGTTGATTGATGTTTGTTATTCGAACACTCATTTTGATCACTTTCAGTTCTCAGAAATAATTCCAATTGCAAATGTTTCCAAAAGAATAGCAATCGAGTGCTATGTACTTGTGATATGATGTTTTCACGGCAGCGTGGAAACGCAGTCAAACTAATAAGTGTATTTCTGTAAATGTAACTTACTGTAACTCCATATGCATGTGTGTTATTGTTATGAATCTATTCAGCATTTCTTGACAAATTGAAGTATTCTCTCAAAAATTATGCATCATTTATTCAAATAAATTGATACATACCAAAACTGCAGCAGTTCTATTCAATCAATGCTTCTTCCACTTTTAAGCTGTTCTCTTTTGCGCGTCTTTTTTTCAGCATTTACAAAGAAAAAAAAACTTAATATTGCAATGAACACAGTGATGAAATGAATTTGGTAGATGTTTGTTTACGGATTCTGGATGACGTTTTGCGCTGATTCCAAAAAATCCACGATGCAGCAGTAGTGGTAATACAAAAACAACAATGATGTAAATAATAACAACGATAATATCATTGTAAATGATAAAAATAACAATGATAATAATAATACCAATAATAATAAAAACAACAACAACAGCAACATAATGATGCCTTATCCACATGAGATCAATACAAGATAATGCTAATTTCACAATTCAAATTAGCTTCATCTCATCAGAAATAATATTATCGCTCGGCAAGCGCCAATATTGTTTCGATCAGTCAACCGAAAACATCTTTAGTCGTTGTTTTGTCTCAGCACCGATCTGTTCCCACCGAACAATATCGAACAATGGCTAAGTCTGAGCCCGAGCCAATTGCTCTTGATGGTCCGTTGAGGGAATATCGCCGAAAGGCCACTTTTGACTGGTATAAGCTGAAAGTATTCCTGGAAGGTGAAGAGAGCGTTCATTTCAAGGTTTGTTCTTGATCATTTCAACCGACATTCTTGCATTAATTCTCATCCTGATGCTTTGCTGTGAATGATATTCAAAAGTGGTCATCTAATCAATTTCAGGAGCGATGCTACAAAATCCTTGAAAAGGACGCTTTATTTGAACGTAATTGGCGATCACTTACCGTAGACGAGAGTCGCGAGCTGAATTTCAAAAGATGGAAAAAAATTATGGAATATGCATTCATTGATGAGAATGAATCAATTCAGTCGTTACTTAACAGCGTAATTAATCGAGTTTACCACATTAATTTCAAAATATTTTCACAGTCTGCGAAATATTCAAACTTTTCTATGGAATATCACATAAAAAGCAATGCTCTTTAGCAGAAAGTCTAGATTTCAGGATAATGAAAACACATATAGATTGCTGGATTTGCTAGACATTCTCGAAGCTTACGATCAAGGTTTATCGGCCAGATTCGCCGTCACAAGAATTGGCTTTTTCACAACTTTACTAACATTGGGAACTGAGCGACATATGCCTCTACTAGAGAAATGTATCAATAATGAGGTGAGACATCCACAAAACTTAGGATATCTTATTGCATTGTTGTTGGTATTATTGATGAAACGAATTATTTGCAGATTGTTGGATGTTTTTGCTTAACAGAACTCGCACACGGTTCGAATGCGAATCAGATTCAAACAGAATGTCATTTCAAAAACAATACTTTCATACTGAACACACCGTGCCAAGAGGCTATCAAATGCTGGATTGGAAATCTGAGTTCGAATTTCCAGTTTGTTTATGTAACACTAAATACTTTTTTGTGAAATCTAAAAAAATAATGGTGAGCGATACGTGCGATGTTCGTAATGGAAGCAGAGAGAAAAGTGATACGAGAGAGCCTTCTCTTTCGAACTTTGAAAAATTTTTGCTCAAGCTGCAACAGTGGACTGTTAAACTAGAAGAGTGCTATAAGAATGGATATAAGTTTGAGAAACAACGATATTTCATTCACTTCAGGTCATTCAGCAACACACGCAATTGTATTTGCTCAATTGTTTCTGCCAAATGACAGTCAAAGTAGAGGTGTGCATGCATTTTGTGTTCAAATTCGTGATTTGGTGTCACTTGAACCCTTCGACGGCGTTGAAATCGGTGATATCGGTGAAAAATCCGGAGATTGGAACGGTTTTGAAAATGGATGGATTAAATTCAATTCGTACACGGTACCTTCTGATACGCTGCTAAACAAATTCACTGATGTNATATTGATTAGTATTGATTAGATGCTGATATTGATTAGTAGTTTTCAGAATCAACGAGATCAGTTATCAGCCATGTTTGGCGCGCTGTCGATCGGGCGCATTGGTATAATTGGTAAAGGTGCAGTCGCGACAAATTTGGCTGCTGTTATCTCAGTTCGATACTCTGCGATAAGAAAACAATTCGGAATTGATAACAATGGTTATTGCATTAAACATATTCATCAGATAACAGCTTTACCTTAAACGTTATAGAACAATGTTTGAAATACTTCTCTGAATAACGTCCATATTCTTTAGAAGTTTTTCACATTTCACTGAACTTCATACAACTGACCTTCAATATTATCATATACAACTGCAGTGTCCATCGAAGAAATCGAAAACGCTGCAATTTCCAAGTGAAAAATGAAAAATCCATAAGAATGCTGCATGTATGAGCTGGAGAGTGGGGATGCGTACGCATTAGAATGAGACCAAAGAAATGTTGTGATGGCTAGAAAGCATGTTTAGAAAAATTATCAAATATTTCGCCAACCCTCGTCGAGAATTATCCGTCACATTTCACCGTCTTCATCTTAGAAACAAAGAGAATCAATCTTTTTATTAATAAAGCCAAAAGAATCGCTTTTCGAACGCCACAATCATCGCTCAGTCCAACGATATTCGCATTAATTTACACGCATTTAAGCCTAAATCCTCTCGGATATTTCACAAAACTGTGTGAAATATTACAGGAGAATTGCCAATAATCGAATATCCTCTGCAACAACGTCGCATATTTCCAATTCTTTCGACTGCAATCGTTCTCTGCATTTTTCATCGTAAATTTCTTCGGATCTTCAATGAAAATTTCATGAAAATGTTGGACGGAGACAAAGATGATCAAATGGTTTGTTTAATTTTTTTCACTAGTGATCTGTAATGAGGCATTTTTGAGAAGCAGCGCTATTCACTTCGAAATTTTCGAGTTGCTCATGCTGACTGCTCACGAGTTTGGTCGGAGCTGCTTGATGACCGCCCACAAGGAAATGGTTACTCGCTCACTATTCATGCTCATAATTTACTCACATGCTCGCTCGCTTAGTATTTTTGATCAGTACAGATGATCTCATCATATAAGTCATTAGGTTAATGCGATTAGTAGAATTTGAGAGTATTTGCTCGCTTAGTATTTTTGATGGAATTTAAGGAAGCACTCACAAGAGAGATTCATGCTTTATCAAGTGCCACCAAAGCGATATCAACATGGGCTGCAGTTGATTGTTTGTCTGAGGCTCGTTCTGCGTGTGGAGGGCATGGGTTTGTACCATTAATCGCTTTTCACTTGAACTTGACGTTTGAAAACAAACTTGTCTGATTTTTTGATTTTTAGATTCTTTTTGAAATGTCTCTTTTTTGAAATTCATCTCTTTGAACCTGACATTGAAAATGTCTTGAAAACATCTCTTTGGAAAAAATCTGACATTCAGCTGTTTCAATTTCAGATTTCTGAAATGTTCTCGACTGAATGATCTTCGCGATTCATTCGATGCAGCACAGTCATTCGAAGGTGAAAATAACGTATTGCTGCAGCAAACTGCAAAAATCCTCTTATCGATGCTTAAACAAACTGAACATCTTCCTGAAACACCACTGAATTCATTCGCATTCTTGAAACGACCTCCAACTGCTTTCAGCGGATGGACTCATGATATCATTACAGGTTTCCAAACTACATTATTTAAATATGCATCAAAATTGGTTTGAAGACGATGACACGAAATGTCTCATCAGTTCAAAGAGTAATAATAGCACTTTATGATACTCGCCGTTACGATGCCCCTCGTTAATAAACAATTGCAGATGTTAAACACGCTTACCACTGGCTAATAATCTATCTGGCTGAACGAAGTCAACAGAAAATCGACTCGAATAAAGCGTCGGGAATGAATGAAACAGAGGCATTCAATAATGCGCAACCAGCTGATTACTGTAAGCCGTTGGCAGTGGCGTACGGTGAGCGAACGATGATTGGGTGGTGCAGCGATACCGTAAACCAACTAGCACCGTCTCCTTTACAAGACGTTCTCCATCAAATTCTAGTGGTCTACGCACTTTTCACCATTCGCAAACATATTGCAACGCTTTACATTGGTTGGTTTTCGCTGATATTATTATCGTTTGATTATTTGGTTATGTTTCGACCCATTTGTGCTTGATTTACACTTTTGCTGATAGTAAAGAAGACGGGAATGGGGCACAGCGATATATCGATCAATCAGGTAGACC